CATAGGATGGGATGATCGGAATTCCAAATATCTGTTTGAATGTGTGGGTTTTCTGTAAACACTAGGGTGTTTAACATCCCATCTTCTTTCCTTTTCACGTTGCAATCTAACATTGGGAGCACCCCTTCTTGACTTTCCAATTCATAAGTGAATTGATGAATTGTCTCCACCTTTGAGTTGATGTGTTCGGAAAATCTGTGTATATTCTGTGTTCTAAGTACAGTGAATGTGTCATCTACACACCTCCACCATACTTTTTGGGTGGGGGTGAACGTTCCAATCGCCATGTTTTCCCACCTATGCATGAATGTATCTGCTACAACCTCGGAAGCCTTACTCAGAATTCTTAACAAGGCAGGAATAAAACTGGCTGACATTCAAACCACCCACAAACTCAATTAGAAACAAGCTTTATCGGTTAAAGAATCAATCCTGTGGAGCCTTTGAAACAAGACAATTTAGTTTATCTAATACCCTACTGGCAACAATTGTCAGGCCAAATACATAGGTCAAACTAGTAGAACAGGCGCAGTCAGTCAGACTAGCCAAACATAAAAACCTAGCAGCAAAATCTAGATTGGTGTTGACCCAAATAAGATAAGGAATCTAGAGAAAATAGTTCAGCTATACCACTCACTATATGCAATTACACACACCTAACCATACAATAGGATGGATGGGATAAGGTGACAGACAGTTTTAAAATCTAATGTAACACCAGGGTGGAGGGAGGGAGTGATTGATGTCAACGGAAGCTTAGTTTATCGAATCAACTGCAAATACATGTAATAGGAATAATTCAACATCACCTGTCCACCCAGACATCTGGAAAATTCTACTACCACGCCTACGACGACAAATAGGAGAGAACAAAGAAAACTATAAACTTCAAGTTTCAATGTCATGTGATTATAATTGATGATGAAACGATTATGAACAGTAATAAATTTTCTTCGAACATGTGTCATCCAGTAAATAATAACACTGTTTCCCTCACTGACTGTGTGTGATACATCTAATAAACGAACTAATATGGAATTATTTAATAACACTGTGTACAATTTTTTTTTACATATATATTAATTTGTTTTATTTCATTTTACATGGTGTTATCATATTCTAACATTTTTGTCTAGTCTACTGCTTTGACAACATTTCACTCATCTGATATTGTCTCCATCATCATATTATATTCACAAATATTCACATTTCCGAATGTACTTTATTTCCCCATCATCTATTTCACGCATGTTGTCTATTGAACTTTAGGTTGACCTCTGTTTATTAATTAAGTTATTCATTCATATATCTGATCATATTGTAACTGGTAACCCTATACGCCAATATTATTATAGCACTTTCGTATTTCCACTCAATGTCAAACTTTAGCACACACACACACACAAAAGAAACTGATTGTTATTGTTTATTGTAATTCATACACCAGTGAGAACGCCAACTTACAGCATCTCTGGTTCAATAGACGTGATATCCGGTTGGTTATCGAGATCAAACAGCAGGGTGTACTGCTCAAGCATCATTTAGCTCTGTCCTGATTTATGGCTGTGAGTGAGGTATGCCCATTGAAAGTGGAAAATATGAAAAAGCCGGTTATTTGTCTTTGATCATAAGTGTCTGCCTTTCTATCTCACATGTCAGGTCTGTCTGTCTGTCTGTCTGTTTTCGACATAGAACTTTGCACAAATGTGCGCCAGTTCAAGTCGCCACATTCCGTGTAGCACGCGAAGCAAGAGAAGAAAGTACAAGAAAAGCATAATAGAGACAGTGAGCAGAGGTGTGAGACAAAGGAGTAATAAAGAAATACAAAACAGTTTCATTGGAGATCATAAGTCACAAGGAGTGGATGTATCTGCGCCACTGAGGACGATTTTGAGCCATGTTACCAATTGTTTCCAACCATGGATTTTTACCGTTCCGAGGACCCCAGCCTGGAAGTCTACACCTTCCTACGTGACTGGCTTAGACCAACTGTTGTGGATTTCATTGAGTGGTGAAGCCGTTTTTGTTTGACCGCCGCTAGCTTTTTTCCAGACTGACCCTATATCCGCTAACATTGCTCACTGTCGAGGGAGGCGATGGCTCACATGTCAGGTGGTATAATAAGGTGAGTGATATCGAGGTTATACACCTGTTGAGTGCTAGGTAAGGAGAAGAGAAAGTTAATCGACGAGGCTGTGAAGTTATACCGATTGAGATGGTTAGGACATGTGTTACACATGCATGCCTCGACAACGGACAATGTTAGCTGACATAAGATTGATGACTCCATTATGATAAGATTTTATTTTGATAAGTCACATAGTATTACACAGTAATATTAACTGATGACCACACTTTGAGCACAAATTATTGGCACTCATAATCATATCAAGGCACTACTCACACAACTTCCTTCCTTCATTTATATACATGTGTGGAATTGGTTAGACATTTGAATAAAAATCAATATGTGACAATGTACATTCAGAAATAATAATAATAATATGAGTGTTATTCACCAAATACAATCAGATGGGAAATAAGACGACTGTTTTTATACTCATAATAGGTAACTTGTTAGAATGTTATGATGAACATGAATTGAATTGAAATAGAAACAGCGCCCTTTAACCTACATAGCTTGTCTCTGAGTGAGTTTGTTGGTTTTAATGCCACCCTAATTCCTGCTTAAATTAAAAATCGTACGTAGGGCCTCAGATGTCCCCCCATTATGTGGTTAAACTACAGTAGATGACTTATATTCTTTCTTATTTATGTTATAATTATTAGTTTCGCAATTATTTTTATTTGGCTTTTGGCCTTTACTGATCTTCCTAATGAATTTTATAGGATGGTTATTCAACACCAACGCCTCTTCTGTCTGTTTTAATTCATCATTTAGGTCTTTTTTGTGCTACTTAGTTCTGTGGTGAGAGCAGGCCGTGAGAAAATATGTACAAGGCTGATTCAACAACCAATCACAGCAGACTTAACGTGGCAAAATATGATTCGCAGATAGAGAACTCTATTTTTCGAGGAATCCCGAAACAACCAATCAGAAGCCTGCATTTGTCTGCCTAACTTCTGATAAACAACCAATCAGATGACTGCGCTTGTCTACTTGCATAAGCTATAATAATGTATGTGAAATATGTATAAATACGTGTTGATTTTCATAATAAAACGATCTGTTGCCTGGCCCATGTCTTCTGTTGTTACAGTTCTACTGCTCGGTTTGTTAAACACTTAACTAAGCCTGTCTTAACAGTTAACGGATAAGATGAATTAAAGTCTACATATCTATTAGAATGAGTTGGTTTTCTATAAACACTAGTGTACATACAGTTAACCTTCTTATATTCGTTTTACATATTTATACTCTACCACAGTGTCCAAGTTTTATAGTTATATCAATAAGATTGATGAGGTTGAAAAATAGCTAGTTAGTGGTGGTCAAACCAAAATATGGCTTCATCAGTCAGCGAAATCCACAACAGTTAGTTTAGGCTAGTCACGTAGGGTGATGTAGACTTCCTGACTAGTTTAGGTCCTTGGGACGGTGACAACCAGTAACAATGGCTGGCGTCAATTTATGATATGACTCAAAATCCTCGTTCTCAATGGTTGGCACAGATGCATCCACTCCTTGTGACTTATAATATCCAATAAAACTATATTATTCTTCCATATTACTATTCTTTTTGTCTCATATGTCTGTTTACTATCTCTATTATGCATTTCTTCTACTTTCTTCGGTTGCTTTATGTGGTACATGGAGGAAGTATGGCGACTTGAACTGCTGCATATCGGTGCAAAGTTCTACGTTAATTGTCCAAAAGGAAACTTTTCTTCGTTGAATTCGTTGTTGTTATATCTTCATGGGGGATTATTAATTTGAATAACTTTTTTTTATGAGAAATTAGTCAGTGGTCCTTGAGCTCAAAATGATCTTAAGTTAAATTCCTTTAAATGTCAATCAGGTTGTGAATTCCACTATCAGACGTAAGCGCTACTCACATGAACTGGTTTAGTTCGCACAGTTCCACTATCATAGATGGCAATGAAGTTGAAGGCATCAATCTTTTGGTTTATATCAAAAGTTCAACCACGGATTGAATCCAGTTAAAGAACCACTGAAAACCATGAACTGTCTGTCTGTCTGGATTCAACATAGAACTTGGCACCGAAGTGCACCAGTTCGAGTTGCCACGTTCCAAATAGCACACAGAGGTAGACAAGAAGATGAGTGAAGAGAATCAATAGAGTTTGACAAGTATAAGAGTGAAACAGAATGGGTATTGGTAGAAAGGAATATGAAAGATTACAGAGACTGAATACATCTGCGCTGGCCATTGACAACGATTTTGAGCCATGTCACCTATTGTCTCCAGCCATTGATTCCTAGAGTCCCGAGGCCCCCAACCCGGAAGTCTTCATCTCCCTACCTGACTGACTCAGTTTAACTGTCAAGGATTTCATGGATTGATGAGGCCATGTTTTTGTTTGGCCACCACTGGCTCTTTTCCAACCTGAACCATATATCAGCTAGCAATGCCCGTCGGGGGAGGCGGTGGTTAGGCATGCGCGTCACGTGACCTAGCCATCTCAGTCTATGTAACTTTATAGCCTCGTCGATTGATTTTCCCTCTTTCCCCAACACTCTACGCCTAACGTCAACATTACTTACCTTATTAAACCACCTAACGTGAGACAGAGATCGCAGACATCTATGATCGAAAGCAGTCAACCTTTTCATGTCTTCAACTCGTATTGGCCATGTTTCAGAGCCATAGGCAAGGACGGAGCGAACCATGAACAGCTGTTTCGTACCAATTCCGGACTCTTTATCAGTAGGAACCCACCAACGGAAGTCGGACCTAGAACCTTCCAGTTACAAGGCAAGCCCATTGACACGAACTCAGCCATTGGTGGAATCGGTGATTTTAGCGCAACTGGCATCAGCCCATGACAAACCACCACAACATTTAAAAAACACTTACCAATCAATTATTGAAAATTCTACAGTTGGATGTGTTTTTTCAATCAACTGTTTCGCTTGAGAATATGATGTCACTTCAATACCATTGATGCATTGTATTTTATCACCGAAACGTACTCGATTTAAACTGGCTGAAGATCTTTCATCGACATGTGAAACAAATAGACCCTGAGAAATACAGAAAGGAGGGAAAAGTACATTGTAAAGGTATAGAATAGAATATACAACAATAAGAAGTTATGCATTGATAAAGATTTGTCATTTTTTAAAAGGTGGTCATCGTTTGTGCTTGTGGACTGTTTAGTTAGGATCCAACTGACTAACTGGTTCCGACATAGTGTAACGACAGAGGGGACAAGGGCCAGGCAACAGATCGTTTAAAATAATTAGTTCCCTTTATGAATTAAGCGAAAACAAGAAGAAGACGTAATTTGTCTGAATCGTGTGTGTGTAATGTGTATTTGCGCAACAAATTTCGAACAATCTGATCACACACACACGGACTTGTCATAGGAATTTATATGGAATTAACAACGAGTTAAGAGGTGACCAAATAAACTACTTAAGTCAAGTTAAAAGGATGACATAATGAAGGTCAAAATAACAACGAACATCAATAAACTAAATAATAGAGGTAACAATAGTACACCCACCTTCGCTGGTATCAAAGTAACGAAGTTTACCAAAGAAGGCAGTTTAGTGTGATGACGAATTGTTGCTTTGAACGCATAAAGGTGGTTTAAACTTTCTAATTGCCAGCTGCGGCTTCCACAAACTTTAGGATATACGCCCCAAACACGTTTTATAGATACGTTTAAAAGATGCATGTGTTAACGTCAATTTTATGTCCTGTCACACATCCTTTAAGCCTATCTATAAAACGTGTTTGGGGCGTATCCTAAAGTTTGTAGAAGCCCCAGTTGGTAATTAGACAGTTTAAACCCCTTTACGCGTTCAAAGCAACAATTCGTTACCATATATTTGTGACTGTTTCTTGAATATCAGATCATCTATATGCTAACTGTATCCGCCTACGCTAAGTCTGCTGTGGTTGCTTGTTGAATCAGTCTTTGTTTTTACTTTTCTCACGACCAATATTGGGGACACAAACATTGACGTAAATTACTGTTTACCAATTTCGGCTAGCACCCAGCTCTTACCGCAATATTATCTCCCCTGTTTGGTTTAGTGATTGATCTTCATTGTTATTTTGATCTTCAATATGTCGTCCTTTTAACTTGACCTAAGTAGTTTATCTGCTCACCTCTTAACTCTATTAATTGCATATGTATGTTTTCCTATGACAAGTCCGCGTTTGATCAGATTGTTCGAAATGTGTTGCGCGAAAATACATTACACACACGATTCAGACAAATTGCATCTTATTGCTTTGTCTAAACAGGCAGTTTATTAAGAAAATCAAAAGATATTTATAGATTTTTATGTACATTATTATTAGCGTTACAGTTAGCAGAGAAGCAACCTCATCTCACTGGTTGTCTTCTTGCTGAAGGTTATTCTGTACTGCTTCTGACTGACGGTTTCTTAGAAAGTTAAGCCATATATCTGCGAATCATATTTGCACACGTTAAGTCTTCTATGATTGGTTGGTGAGTTCCTCAAGCTTTGTTATTATTGTTGTTTTTTCTCATGACCCCGATTTGGGACGTAAACATTGACGTAAATTGTTGTCTACAATTTTAGCTAGCAGACAGCTTTCATCACAATAGAACCTTGCACAGATGTGTACCCGTTTAAATTGCCACCCTCTTTGCATTTGGCAAATAAAGCAAGAAAAGACGGAGAGGTAATAAACAGAAGTGTGAATGAGTTTGGTGTGTGTGGAAAAAATCAAGAGTTTTCGTGGTCAAAAATGAGGAAAATCTAGACGAGATCTTGAATTCTTAAAACAACTGCCACTCCGTGATTCAGTTCACGTTAGAGAAAATATTCTTTCTTGACGTTCAACTAACAAGACGAGAACAAGACGGAATACTGTAAAAAGATCTATCTGCAGAAAGTTGACATGGAACAGACAGTTTACTAACTTTCACAGTTGGTTACCTCTATACACCAAACGAAACCTAATCCATTCACTCAGCTACACAGTTCGTAGAATCTGCACCCCGGATACCATAGAAAACGAACTGGACAATCTCAAGAGAATCCTCATTGAGAATAGTTACGCAGAACGATTTATTGTAAAATCCATGAATCCTAGGCTGCAAAAGCTGCCTACGCCTAGTGTCCCGACAAAATCTTTTCCTCATGAACCTTCAATTCAATGGAGATTCATCTAAGGAAACACTGACTGGTTCCACTTAAGAAAGCCTGCTTCACACCTGAACTACGATTAACCTTCACCACGAAACTTATGATTCGTATGAACGTGAAGGATAAGCTAACACTGCTGATCTCACTAATGTGTATCTACCGATTCACCTGCTCCTGTGAAGCCAGGAATGTCGACCGCTATCCAAACGCATCACCAAACACTTACCAGCATGGTTTTTACGAAAGACACTTAGACATCTTAATTTACTAACTCAATCTTACTTTAGTTGCTGTCTAATTAACCTTGTTTCTATATTAGATCATTCTTGTATTACCTGATTAATTATCTAAACTTGACAAACATCATGTACACATACACACAAAATAATTGTATATAAATACGATTGTACAGCTATGTGAATGAATTCACCGTCGAAAAGAGTCTCTTCGCTGAACGTCTTATCTTTTTCTATGTGACTCAATGGGGATTTTTTAGGCGACTGGTGTAAAAAGGTCGAGATTCAATCTTCTAACCTATTGGTTGCCAGCTGTTGAGTGTGTGTTAAGTCCATAAACCATAACTGCTCATGGATACCTTCCAGTAAAATCAGATTAAGATCGTAATTAGCCCTACTGACTAACTGCCCCGTTGCATCATAGAACTCTGAACAGACAGTTCGAGTAGCACACAAAGGAAGAAAAGATGGAGAAGACAGGAGATTCGAAGAACGACAAAAAGCAGAAACGTGAAGGAGGGAAAATAGTAACGTGGAAGAACAATAGGGTTTAGTGACTGACTGACTGACTGACTGACTAACTGACTGACTGACTGACTGACTGACTGACTGACTGACTGACTGACTGACTGACTGACTGACTGACTGACTGACTGACTGACTGATTTCAACATAGAAGTTCGCACCGATGTGCACCAGTTCCACTTGTCACTCTCCCTCCATGTACCACACAAAGCAAGCGAAGAAAGTAAAAAGGAACGCAAAATAGAGACAGTAAACAGATATATGATGCAAAAGGAATAGTCATATGGAAGAACAATATAGTTTTATTGGGTATTATAAGTCACAAGGAGTGGATGCATCTGCGCCAGCCATTGAGAACGAGAATTTTGAGTCATATCACAAATTTCGTTCAGCCATTGTTACTTGTTGTTACCATCCCGAGGACCCCAAACAGCTAGGAAGCCTACATATCCCTACGTGACTGGTTTAAACTAACTGTTGTGGATTTCGCTGACTGATGAAGCCATGTTCTGGTTTGACCACCACTAGCTTCCTTTTTTCCAGTCTGATCCATCCTATATCAGCTAACAGTGTCCATTGTCGAGCAAGGTGATGTCTAGCCATTCACGCGTAACGCATGTCCTAACCATGTCAATCAGTGTGACTGTTTTACAACCTCGTTGATTGATTTCCCCTCCACCTCACTCACCTAGCACTCGACCAATGCCTAACCTCAATATTGCTCACTCTATTATACCATGCCACCTTACACGGGAGATAGAACGCAGACACACCTATGATCGAAGACAGCTAGCTAGCCGGCCTTTTCATATCTTCCACTCGCAATGGCTAGATCTCACTGGCAGTCATAAAGGAGGACGGAATGGACCGATAAGCAGTACACACGCCCTTTGGTTCATAGTCAAATAAACAATAATAAAAATAATAATAATACAATACAAATGCTATAATAATAATAATAACATTCCTACCTGTTTTATTTCGGTAAACATAAATCCAACATCATTATTTTTTGTCTTTGCAATTGAAATCGTTCGTACATTTGTGGTATTATTCTCATCCGCTGTAATTGACATCAAACTTGAACCATGTTGTAATTGTATAGTAGACAGTACCGGTACAATACCTTCATCGTCATCATCACCATCATTTTCACCACTGACACCGCCTCCAAGGCGAAGAATATTGTCACCATTACCACCTTCATTTTGTGGAGAGGAATTTTCCTTATCTTCTTTGTCGTCACCTACATATGACCTTCTGTTATCACAGATAGGCAGTAGTCCTGTAATTTCTAATATCTCATCATAGGAGGATACAATCTCTCGAGGTTTTTCACTCTCTTCAGACATTGTGAATATGTAATATACACACGTATGTATGGATTAATGGGCGGTGGGTGTGGAGGGGAAATAAAGGTGCTAGGCACAGTGATTGATTGAATGTGGTACAACTTCTTTTGATAAGTGAAGGCGGAGGAGAAGGGGGCCGGCTTTCTTCCGCTTTCTTCAGAAGAGATAATTCATCACGGCAACAACAACAACACACGTTCCTATGATGATGATTCCTATTTAGTTATGTAATACGTGAAGTCGAAGTTTATTCAATACTCCATATTTCATTATAAACTGCAATGATTACTGAAATTGTAGAAAGGCAAAACAATTAGTTGTTGTTGTATAAGAATTAGACAACATAATTTTAAGTAGTTATCACATATCAAATTTAAAATTCGCAATTTGCAAAATTCGAGGACGCGGGGATGGAAATTATTCAGATCTACTTGGCACCATACAAATCAAGGAAACATGAAGCTACATACTACTTATTGATTGTGGGATGAGTAGTTGGGTACCACTTACATTAATCAGTAGTGCGCCGACCGATAGCTGCTATCTTGACGTGGTGGTCGTCCAGTTTGCATATTGCAATGACCCAATAAGCTACACTGAATAGGACTATTGTTTCTGCAGGTTGTTAGGATAGCGGCTAGACTAAAAGCAGTTACCGGTATAGTGTAAGAATTTTTCTCACTTATACTATGCTGGGAGTCTGTGAGCGAAGTCGTACTGCTGGTGAACAGGGACGTATTCAACCGCAGTAAGGTTTTGCCCTCAGATGACCAGCATGCCAGCCAGATATACTGTCATCACCACCTAGCACGCCTAACTTCAATATTGCTCACCATATTATACCACCACTTAATACGGGAGATAGAACGCAAGCATTTATGATCAAAGACAGATATCCACTCTCAATGGCCAGGTCTCACAGCCGGCCATAAAGAAGGACGGGGCGGACTGCTGAGCAGTACACATACCTTTTAGTCGATAGCCAGCAGGATATCAGGTCTACTAAACCAGAGACGGCGCAAACTGGCAAAGTGAAAATACATGACTTCGACATTAAATGATAAATTGGGTTTAGAAAAAAGAACTGTAGGGCCAAATATTTAGAAAAGACTACAAAACCTTCGTTAGCGGGATAATCACAGAAGTGCTGCATGCTATTAAAAACCACTCAAGGTTGAAGACTATATTTTTAACCACCGGACTGCACACATCTTAGGTACATTTAGACATTTTCACAATTCAAAAAATTAACATTCACCATTTTCACGTAATGAAATACTGCGAATCATACAGTATAGTTTAGGGCAAAGTTAAACTATCATAGCCAAAACCGCAGTGAGCTTAGACCACCAATCACAATTCGGGTGCAAAAAATAAACATACTCGTTGAATAAAATACACTAATTAATAGTGAAAACTTGATATTACACTATATACTTGTAGTTTATGTGTTGTGCGAATGTCTCTCAGTCAATATAAAGATGATCTGTAGAGAAATCGCACCATGCATGATACACACATTCATCCAGATGGCTGTAGGTCATGGTACTTAGACATCCATTAATATGTATGATACTTTTCACCAACCTACTCCTAACTCTAAACTTAAACTTAACCACAGAACCTAAGCCTTAATCTTAAAGGCCATAAGCCTACCTAGGTTTGCAGAATAAGTACGTATTATATAAGTAGAATACTGTAACTATCCTCTCGAATTCCAAAAAAAGCAGGCATGATTTGGCTTGGAATGTCAACTTTTGAAAGACATTCACTTTGGCTATGGTACTTCAACCTCGTCGCTTTTAAGTTCAGTTTGTAAAACAAACCGGAAAATTAGGGTATATGAGTCTTGCATCCCGTTGCTCCCAGAGGCTTATATCCGATGTTTCCGCTAGTTGATGCAAGTAAAAGCATGTGATGGTACGCCTTTACAAATTATAGTTCATATATATATGCATATATCTATAATTTGGAGGCAAATCAATGTAAACATTGGGGAGGAATTTAAGAGAAACGCATGATACTTCCCACCTCCTGAATACCCTGATAATAACCATGAAAACCCTAAAGTTCCCCTAAAACTCATGAACCGCCACGAATGCCGTAAAATTTCGATAATAGCGGAGTGATAAGGCTTCTTTGACTGATTACCTAACCCGTTACTCCAAGATATATAATTGGCAAAGTTCAGCAATAGTGTCTCAAGCGATACGAACGCACGAGTGATCTTCAGCCGACTAAATATGGAATTAAACAAAAATGCAATCTAACTGTGATAAAACAACCTACATATCTATTTTTGGACGTGACCTTAAGATGTGCAATCAACTGTTGTAGCGCTGCCAACGAAAACAGCGGCACCCACCACAAATGTCCAATATCATCTTGAGGAGCTTGTGTAAATCTTATGATTTGTTTGCACTCATTTCTTATTGTCTCCAAACGGTCTTGGATATTTTACATGTCTTGGCTGCTGTAGCTTTGCTTAACTCGCTACAATACTTTACTTTTGGTGGAATGAACTATTTGTTTCATGACAGTGGCGCTGCAAGAATTGCAAATTTCCTTTCCCAAGGAAATCTCACACTACCGTCAACAAACAAATACCGTTATGATTCCGATTCTATTTAAATATGAAACGCCATGATTACTCGGAGGAAGTTACTGGCTAAGGACTCAGAAGAAAGTGAAGAGTTACGATGCATGAACTAAGTCTTCTTTATCGATACAGATTCAGATTCATTGGTTGAGGATAGAAGGCTTGGAACTTATGTTAATCCTTTTCTAGTAACTTCCTGTTCTTGTTCAAACCCTTCTTGAATGAATTAGTTGAGTCTGCAGACACCACTTCTTCTGGGAGTAGGTTCCAAGAGCTTATGACTCAGCGTGAGAACCAGTACTCGGCGGCAATATGATTTCTTCTTGGCTATTGAACTCTCCTGCTATGTCCTCTAAGGCGTTTCGACATGGTCCGGAGGACTAGAGAAAATAGGTCAGGTCCGTAGCCGTTGTCTACAATTATGAACGATGTTGTAATGAGATCTCCCTGCCTACGGTATGACAGAAAGAAATGATTTAAGCTGCTTAGTCTTTCCTCGTATGATAAATTAGCCGTGCCACAAATCATAAGAGTTGCCTTCCTTTAAACATTTTCTAGAATATGTGTGTCCCCCTTAAGACAAATACATACTGCTTAGGTACAGTTTCCCAGTCTTGACCTCACCAGAGGTGTATATAAGGAGATGAACACATTTCTGGTGATTCCAATGATGGCTCTGAGAATTACTAACAAAGATCTGAAATGACTTTCAGCAACCACGAGAAAATGTGCTGTAACTTTTAAGTCATGACTTACTATAACGCCTGAATCCGAATGAGGCTGAACTGGTGGAAGTGTTGTGCCCTCTTGTCCGGAGGAGCTGATGCCTGCACGTCCAATGCGCATGGTTGCACACTTCGCTACATTGATAGGGAGCAGCCATCGTTTGAACCAATCTAATAATACGTTGGGGTCCCTTTGCAACACGAGAGCATCACTGTTGCCCTTCAGCTCCCCAGATATTCAGGCCATTTGCTTATTGGTCCACTGGGAAATCCGTGGACACATATAACTCAATGATATACAAAATTAATAAGAGTGGCCCGAGTACGGTGTTTTGTATCACTCCGCCACCTACTCTTGTCCAGGAGGAGAGTTTTGTAGCTAGGTAAGTTGGTTAATTATTTTGGTTGCAGAATCAGCTACCGAAAATGGTGAGTCTGACACGTCCGGTATAGTTACCTCTCATTCATGTGTATTATTTTGTTGTTTTGTCGCGTCCTTTTATTGGAAAGTACTTTTTAGTCTAACTTGTGTTCTTTAAATTATTACTCTATTTCTGCAGTAGATCCCTTATTAACCACGAGAGTTGGGTTACTTGAATCCAATCGACATCATCCAAAACTGTAATATAACGAAACCGCGCAAATGCCATCAAGGTTAAGCCAGAGGCGCCACTTCAAATAGGGGATATGCTTTATCAACGCCCCTAGAGCACAGCTTCCATAGGCATAGGGATGTGTCATACAGTTATCTCCCTTGATAAACTTTCATTAAGCAATAGGAATATACTGAAACCGGATTTATGCATCCAGAAGAGAACTGATGTCATTCTTCCCTTGACTTGGCAGATACACCCCATGTCAGTGTAGTTAAAGGTTGAACGATCAATTCATAGTTGTTTGCTCAAACCCAACTTCCCTATATTTTCGCGGAGGTATCAAAACACCAGTCATCGTCTCATCGGTCGCTGTTCAAAAACAACGTAGAAAAACCGTCAGAAGTAATATCGTGATTTATTACTGTAATATTTGTTCATAGACCTTAGTTTACTATGCTGCTTATATGTTGGTGTTAGAATAAAGAACTCTCTAGTCGCCAATCGGTGTTGTTTTTCGCGTCCGTTAGTACTAAGCGTTTCTGAAAGGCTTCGAGGGACAGCAAGAGGCCCGGCGTAGCAAGAGCTGGGCATTAACGGTTTTTGAGACATGATTGACACCCCACACTGTTTAATTGTTTTTTCCTGATTTTATTCATTTTGTAATTTTAGTCATTATTGTTTTGACAATGTCATTTCGAACCGTTATTTAGTTTTTATCGAAATTCTTGACTTGATCCCTTTTCCCTGACCACCGCTCCATTTTAATCAATTAATAATAATAATATATTCTCATTCTTGTACATGAGAGACGCCAGTTTACAAGCATCATCAATTCGGTTTGACAGCTGCATCTCAGATCTCACTTTATCTTTAGTTTGTGGGAAGAATCTGATAACTTGTGATTCAATGGACCACATCAAGAGTTATTGACTTCACATTAACAACACAATAACACATTGACTCTTATATAAGTGCACTGTTGATTTTGCGCCTCTAACCAACTTTTAGTTCACTCGTAATTCTAGAATATTTCTTTATTATTTCTGCACACAATAAGGATTCTGACAACTACTTTCATTCCATATCAGTGTCCGCCAACTTTATGAACATTAACTAGGGTTTGAATATTTTGTTTAATGATATTAAATTGTTCATCGTTGCACGCAGCTGATAAGAACCAATGAAATATAATGACACCACTTTATACTGCTTATTAAACACACACTTGCTTGGTTACCTAGTCAAGTTGGTAGGGAGGTGTGGGAACTTGTACTGCACTCGAGTGAATATATACAGTGCCTAAGTGTGAGGTGATATAAAGGCCCTCTGTGTCTGAAAATTAGAGCATACAGCGATCATTTCAAGGAAGACCATGGAAGTGATTCGCCATCAAAGCTGTACCCTTGGTTACAGTATCTAATAGGAGAGGCTGTATTAAAGAAGGGTGAGTGCAGGCCCTCCCAGAGTTTGTGCAGCATGCACTAGATACCCATTAAGCAGATTCCTTTTTCGAATAGTTAACGCATATTGTAGTTCAAGTGTTAGACGGTAGATACATCACAAAAAGGCAGCCGAAACATACCACTATAAGTAACAACAGAATAATTTCGGAACTCATGGCCAACATTGGATACCTAACAAAAACGCTGGCACAAAAGCACCGGGCATAGGGCAGTAGAGGTCAATCGCCCAACAGAAAAGTTACATATTAATAAGAAGACCCAGACAACGTAGCGTAGCTCCGTTGGTATCATTAGTGGTTTAGCGAACATTCAAAGAAATGCACTCATTTGTAAGTGGTCAGACTTTAATTAACCTCACTTACTAAAGACTTGTAAACTGGCTTCCCTCATGAAAGAAAACTGTGAATACATTACTAAGAGATGAAGAAAGGTTTTAGCGCTTTGATGGATACGGATTCTAGTAGTTTCATAAGGCTTTTGCTACTTATACAAGCAAGTTATTTGACGGTGACTGAGAACCAAACTTATTTTTAAGTAAAAGGTTGAATTCTTCATAAGCAAAGTGTTGAAGACACTTCACAATTAACCTTTGAAGAGACGGATTCTCAGTCTTCTAAACATAATCCGAAATAAAACCAAGTGGCTATAAATAGAATTATACTGATAACAGGCTACCAGAGAACTGCAAGATTATTGTCCTATTAAACAGCAGCTAAAGGAACCGCAAACGGGGTAATAAACACGAAATGTAAAATGGTACATAAAGCACAACCTTAGTGTATAAAGGTGAGATATTAGTCGTGACACTCCTCTCAAAGAAGATGTTAGTTTTTTCTAAACAATCAATAAAATTATATAACACTATGCTCAGTCATCAGGGGAAATGACTACTCAACATACATACTAAACTCCAAATAGAAGGAATAAATTCCTTAACAAACTACGTGCGCCCCTTATACCTATACAAACAACCCTGGCACACCACACACTACTACCAGTACAACCAGTACATACTACACCTGGTTACCAAAGCCTACACCAGTAAGCCTAAATACGAATTATTATCTCTGGCTTCCAAGATATAAAGCATCCTGACATCCCTTAGCCGTCTTCACCTCTTCGTGCCCATCCAACCTATCTTTACTAGGCACCTGCTGCACGGACCCGGGTGGCGCGTGACCCCCGCCAGTAAAGTCTGATACTACGATAACTAGGTCCCCGGCCTGCTTACATCCATCCATTTGTGTCCTTGTAATAAAGAAAAATATCCCTCGAAACAATAATCCCAAAACAAGTCTGCTAAATAGCCGACATGTCTCCCTATCCCTCAGGAATTATCACTAAGATGAGTTGCACTTATACTTAACGAGCTGTCCCTTAGTAGTAATAGTTTAGCAGGTGGTAACATTTGGTCTTCAGTGTCCGAGGTGAGTGAAATCAGATGCGTTATTTATAATGCATTCAGCTTTTATCAATGAAGCCATAAGACTTTCATCAGCCAACAGTTGTTTATTGGCAAGCCCACCGAAAACCGTAAGTACAATACGAATAGTGTCTTCCCAAATCCCACCACAGTGCCTAGCAGACCATTAGTTGAAATGCCATTCTATGCCCCTACTCACCAAGGTGCTATGCATTTCTCCCTTTTTCCAATTTCTTAAGCACCTATCTAATTCCCTTTTTGTTCTTGCCAAATTGGCTCCGTTGACAGTGAAAATTTCCTTCGTATGTCTTCCCAACCAATAAATCTTATCAACGCCATTATAAAGGAGTCAGTGAATAGATTGTAAGTCACCTCTGGGTGTAAAGCTATAAATTTCGGACAGGCGAAAATAAAGTCGTAGCATTTTTTCATACCGTCTTCTGATATACCGAGGCTATGACTCGCCACTCCGTAAATGTCTGGCAGGTCAGGACGACCATACGTCCATGGTAATCCCTCCTCAAGGTTACCGCTGACAACTCTGGAGGGACAATCAGCCACCTCCAGCTCT